GTTTACACTTTTTTTTAATTTTTACTCAAAATTAATTTAAAAAAATTTACCGTGTTTATTTCCTCTAGAAAAGCTTTTAACACATTTTTAGATTTTCAATCGATTGAGGAGCGTTTTAGTAGAATAATTGTATACCTTGTTACGGTGTTTTTTCTTTTAATCCTACTACTATTCTATCACTTTTGCTTTCACTAATTCACTATTCACTTTCATAGTTTACTGTGACTATCACGTAAAAAAAAACACTCAAACACATTGACAAATGACTAGACACTGACGAAGTTTGCAATTAGTAAACGAAATACGTATCTGTTATAATTTTTTATAAGTGAATAGTGAATTAGTGAAGCTGGAAATGATACAATAGTAGTAGAATTAAAAGGAAAAATAACGTAATAAGGTATTTGGATTTGATTTTGATTGGACTTGAATTGGATTTTGAATGTCCTTGGATTGGATTTGGGTTCTATTTGGATTTAATTTACATTGTATTTATGTTTGATTTGTATTAGATTATGCAGTAGTATTGGATTTTGATTGAATTTGGAATAAATTTGGAGTGGATTTGGATTGGATTTGAATTGGATTATGACAGGATTTTAATTGGATTTGGGTTGAATTTGGATTGGATTTGGATTTAATTTGGAGTGGATTTTTTTTTTTGTATTAATTGCTCTTTTGTAAAAATCTTAAAGAACTAGGATTTACTTTACAAATATGAGAAACTGAAACCTTGCTGTAAATTTTGGAGAGGTCTTGATGCATGAAGGCTATCCATTCGGTTGATAAACAACTGCTCAGGTGGCTGTCCAGCTATCTACTGACTTTGACTGACAGAGTTTTGGAACCCAATCGATTTTATCAAATTTCAGTCATCTCATTGTCCGATCTTGAATCTTCCCGCACAGCTCAGTTCCGTTATCGGTTGTTACAATCGTGATGGTGCGGAAAAACCCTCGGCTTCGAATTACTGCTGCGCTATCTACCAAATTAAAAACCGCCCGAGATGGCAGGTTACCAGCTGTGATTGGACACACGAAACTGACCTTCAAGGACTATTCCAGTTTCGCCGCTTTCGCTGGATTTAGCAAGAATAAGTGGTGTTGAGTACTTGGCACTGATGAAGTCTGCAAGTAGTAGACGAAATACGCGTATCTGTCAAAAGATAAGCAATTATAACGGAATTTAAAGGAAATAAACCAACCCATTAAAAGCTCTTTATAAGAATAAATTGTTTGTAGCCTACACTGAAGTTCTCGAAATGTTTCTTAAGATCTTTGTACCTGTGAATTTTCTGAAGTTATACTGAAATTTCAGGATCTTCTTTAGTCTTCCACACCGTAGCGAAATAATTAATATAGTTCTATGATTTTCACTAAATTTCAAAAGTTTTGTCTGAAGTTTAAATTATCAAAACTAATTCATAACTTCTTCAGTAGTCTTGAGTTTCCTGGTGTTTTTAAAACTGCCCAAAATATTTCTCAATTTCCTTTAATTTCTCTAGACTGCCGTGCCTTAGTATTTTTTTAAAATAACCCACCATTTTACTGGAATTGATTTAATTGCCAGTCAAGTTCTACCATTTTCCTTAAGTTTTTTAAAGTTTATTAACGCTCATGGAACTTTGCCTAGTATCACTAATTTTCCCAGCAAGAAGTGTTCGGTGCTTACCTTAATTTCTCTCAATTGATCAAATGTTCCGGTAAATTCTCGGAGTATCCCATAATTCCAAGGAACTCCTTGTAAGTCGCTGTAAATTTCCTTAAGTTAATGGGATTTTTTTCTGATGGTATCTAATCGTGCTCGAAGTATTCGGAACTTCACTGATTATAATGAAACAATCAAAAATATCCAAATTTCGTAGAAGTTCTTTGGATTTTTTTGAAAATATCGGTGCTTGCTCAAAGTTCTCCCTTTTTTATTCATGGAACCTCGTTGATGTTCTCTAATCAACTTAGCTAAATTTTCGAATTTTCCATAGATCTTGAAATTTCCATGATATAACAGCCTTGAAATACTCTCACATTTTCCGGATGTTCATATAATTTTTATTGCGTTTCAGAAATTTTCTCTGAGCAAACCGAAGTTTCGAACTACCCTTTAATTCTCTGATCGGTGTTCATGTTCTCGGAGCTTCCCTAAAACTCTCAACTCTAATGAAGATCTCAGTTTCTGCTTTAAAATAAATGGAATTCTCGTAAACACCTTTAAACTTCCCTGGAATTCTCTGGATTTCTGTGTAGTTCCTGAAATATTTATGAAGTTTTAATAAATTTTCTGAAGGTCTCTATAATGAATCTCTCGGAACATCTTAAGGGTTCTCGATTTTATTTCAGCACCTCATTGAACTATCCTGAATGTGTCTAAACTCACGGTTATAGATTTTTAAATCAATTCAATAGTCTGGGCTAAAGTTTCGGGGATTTCCCCTTAAGATCTCTGGAATTCCACAAGATCTCTAGATCTAGCTTTTCTGAGATCAATAGAACTTCATTAAAGTTTCCACATTTTTGATAGAACGAAACGTCAATACATTAAAAATGTTAGTGATCTTAGACTTACCAAAATGAAGTAAGTGTTCAACTTCAACATTTAATGGATTTGACTTAAACCTGTTTCTTTAAAACTAATTGTCATGTCTTAAAAATGTTTGCGTTAAAAATATATTTTTAACGCATTTCATAAATAGCATTCTTACTTTAAACCTGGAAATTATCTGCCAAAGTTATGGAAAAACCATGAAAACTCAGGGAACATTATTTAGGACACTCTGTATATAGAGAAGAACGATTAAACGTAAAAATCTCTATACCAGGTCGTCAACTTCGAATTGTTCAAAAATAGAACAAAATATAGGCCTATCCAGATGAATGATCAATCTTGAAATAAATTCATGTTTAAAAAAGTTTGAAATAGTGACTTATTACAAGAAAAAGTCACTTGGCCTTAAAAAAGAGACTTTTTAGTGACTGGCTTGAAAAAAGTGACCAAGTCACTAAAAAGTGACTCGCTACCTGCCCTGCTAAAGTTAACGAAATTCAACGGAATACTCGCGGTAAAGGAGATTCGAAGTATGATTTATTATACAAAAATTTCAATATTTCTAAAACATGTACAAAGTAAACACAAGACACTGAAGAAGTCTGCACATTGTAGACGAAATACGCGTATCTGTCAAGGATAAGCAAATAAAGTAGTGGAATTAAATGGAAAATACTAATCCTTCTCTCTCTCATTATAAACACAAGGTTAATCAAACTTATTATCTACAAACTTAAAAAAAATCATGTAACTTTAGGTGCTCTGAGACTGACATATACGAGCGTCAATTTTGACATAAAATTGAGTCATAATAGACGAGAAATTCAGCTCAATCAAACGTACTTTTCGTCGAGAAACGAACTTTTCAGTCTCGGAGCATTTAATTGACAGGTCCTTTATGTCAAAGATGGATTACGTCACTTGTAAAATTAGTTATTTCTAAGTGTGTTAATATTCTTCAAGAAAGAATATGAGTTTCATAAACTCCAGATCGCATCTAGCCAAAACATCTCGAACTGGAACATCAGATTGTGTTCCTCAAACCCGAAGGGAATCGTATAGCTCAGATTTGACTCCTCCTCAGCACAAGACCAAATAATGTGATCTGCGTTCTGTTAACCTTGCGCACACAGGGTGTTCGGTTCCTTAGTGCAAATATTTTACGGGGTGATTGAAGATCATATTTGATAAACAAAAATTGTCAACATGATCAAATCTCTGTTTTGGTCTATGTTTGCCATAAATTGGCTATAACTAAAAAAATATGCTACTTAGTACAAAATTATTGGATAGCCTAAAAAAATTCATACTGAATAGTGTCCTTTCTACTTCAAGTAAGCTGCATTTAGTTATATTTTAAGAGATAAGCATATCTAAAATTTGTTTTACACGTGGTTTCCCTTATTGTTTCAAAAGATACGTAATAAAGTGTATTGTTTTATCTAAACAAAAGACGCCTCTCAGAGCGCTCTACAACTCCCTTTTTGACACCAACTTTCTATCTTGTTTAGTTTTGATGCAATTTTGTTCTAAACACATCATGTTGGGTATAAAACACGAATTCAACCCCATTATGTGTCATATCTTTATATGTGTTATTAATAACATGTTATAAATAAGTTATAATTAAGATCCATTCATGTTCGCTTATGTTTCTAAAATTGACATATGAAAACATGTTGTATAGAAGGCTAGCAAGTTTTCACCAAATACCCTCAGTTTTATGTGGGTTATAAACAGGTTATTGAGAGTTGCAATACCGAATGTTGACTTTAAGATAAAAAGTGCCTGTCAGATGGATTGAATACTTCAAAAACAACAATACAACGGGCTTAAAACAAGATTTTTTCAAAGCAATTATTATATAACTTATTTACAACTGAGATTTCTTTTATGAACGATGTTGCAAAAACTAAAATGTAGTTTTTTTTCGTTCAAAGCCAAAATCACGTTCATGAAAATGTGTTCATTGCATTCTACTTGCCTACCGGAACACAGTGAACACATTTTCATCGACCGAATTTCGGTTTTGAACGGAAAAAAACTGCTTTTGAATATCCAAAACATATTGACGTCCGCTTTTCCTTAAGAGACTTTAAGACAGTCAGCATTTGTGCTAATGATACTGACATTTTGCAACACTGATCCTCAAGCAAAAGCTATTTAGTTTAATTGTTAGTTTATTTTTTTTTTAAAATGAGAAAAATTAAAGCTATTTCTGATTTAAATAATTGGTCAATCCCCCTCATTCTGTCGAAATAAAAAAAAAAAAAACAACGCCAAACAGGAAATTATAAATTATCTGTCTGTTTTAGCTTCAAGCTTCCCACACCAGACGACAAACTACACTGTCCTTCACCCTCACCTACAATCTATTGTTTAGCACTAAACTTGCTGCTCCACAGGAACACTTATTCATACAAACACACACACACACACACACACACACACACACTTACCCGAGCTGAAATAGCAGAACCGAAGAAACCGGCTCGAACGAAAACAATTTTCCAATTTTTCCGACTGCCGTTTGCACTTTCCACTTGCAGCGCACTGCTATTATTATTCCACTTCTTTATTTTTCGCACACCTCCTCACTGCCCTTCGCGTTCAAGCGAAACAACAAAAAAAAAATCCCCTCTATTGTGCCACGGAACGGATTTCTGCCGATTATAATTTCTTCCTACGTAGTGCAGCACTATTTCCGGTTGTACATTTTCATATTTTTTTTCCCTTTCCACATAAACTCACTCGTTTTTCTTCCTCTTTGTCGGGCGTCACTTCACATTCAACCGTGCAATTCGGAGCAATTTCACTCACCGGCATGACGGCACTCGGCCTGCTATTTCTTCCTTCTTTTGCATTCGAAATTCGCAAAACTGTCTGCGCTTTTCACCCGCAGTAGGCCGTCACACGTGCTGGGTGTCCCCCTTCGTTGTTGCACCCGAAGCGCCACCGGCCGAAAGTTGTTGGCCTAGGTCCTGGCACTCGCGGGCAAATCCTTCGAACTCGAATTCCTCGATCGCGCGGAACGACACACGCCGAAACAGAACATACGTTATCTCGCTTGGAGAACGTATTTTTCCCTACTGATACCAGTGGCGGTCCTCACCGTCCGTCTAGTCGAGCGGGTCTTCGAACGTGAATCGACCACCGAGCGCCGACCGACCGACCGACCAACTCGTCGTACCTAGTCGAAGCGCGATAAAACTCACCGAACGATGGGGCTAACGGGGGTGGTGGCGGTGGAAGAAGACACGGTTGCGCATCGTGTGACCAAAAAAGCACTGCCTGATTCTGCTGCTGGATGAATGTGGTGGGTTCTCAGAAAAAAAAGAAGCCAAACTGAGTGCAATCAGAGAGAGGGAGAGTGAGATACCTTATCGGATAATCACACTCGAAAAATCAAATCAGCAAGCGACGACGGTAGCAGCTCGGGAAAGATAACAAACAGGTAGGCAGGCAGGCGCTCGTGAGTGAGCAACATGTCGAACAAGAACACGACAGAGAATGTGGGGAGCGTGAGATATGGGAACTCGATGGGATTGGGATTGGGTCGTCGGTTGGGTGGTCGGGAGTGCTTTGAGAAAGAGAGACGAAGAGCAAGAGCACACCTGATGGTGAGATTAGATATAATAAGGTGGCACGGGGGATGACCAGTGTTGCCACATTTTATCCAATTTGAATCTGTATTTTCACCGTAAAAATATGTTTAATCTGCATATATCTGGCTGTCAAACATCAGTAAGAGATCTGTATACAGGAAACCCCTGTAGAGGGGTCAAGTATTAATCCAAGATATTTCACTTGGTTTGACCAGGAAATTGGAACTCCGTTCATAGTGACTATGTGACTACTACTTGGTTTCAAAAACGAAGCTCTAGGCTTGTGTGGAAATATTATAAGTTGAGTTTTGGAAGCGCTGGGAGAAATCTTCCATTTTTGTAAATAAGAAGAGAAAGTATCTAAACTTTTCTGAAGTATGCTGCAAATAACACGAAGACTTCTTCCTTTAGCGGAAATGCCTGTGTCATCAGCGAACAAAGATTTGTGGCAACCCTGAGGCAAATCAGGGAGGTCCGAAGTGAAAATGTTATACAATATAGGCCCAAGAATGCTACCCTGAGGAACTCCTGCTCTAACTGGTAGTCGATTAGATTTGGAATTTTGATAATTTACCTGCAGCTTGCAGTCATAACTGCATTTTAAACCTATCAGACTGAATCCATTACAATGTTCTACCGGGGATAATTCTTTAAAGGCATGAATACATCTTATACAAAATAGTTTAAGCTCATTCATATTATTACAGATAAGAAGATAAATTTTTGTCAAGCTCAACGACATCCAACAGTATTTTGCAGCCCTCTGTTTGATGAATACAGTTAATTTTACTTGTTTTTCCGTTGCACATTTATTTTTCACTTAAACTGTTTTATTAATATCTTTATATGTATTTCAGGTACAGATCTGTGATGAACTTTTTCATGTGCAATAAAACTATGCCTCAATTTAGTGCGTAATTTGTTTACTTCAGTATAACCCTTAAATGCATGATTTTTTATTTTGTGGTGATTTTTTTTTCTTGTAGTATATATTGCTCTTACTATTAAAATGTTGTTTCACCATGTTTAAAGACCAACGTAGGTATGTTGCCAAATGGCAACACTATGCATTTAAGGGATAAAACAGCATTTTATCATTTTATATTTTCCCAGATTTAATTGATTTGGGTTTCGGTACCGTCGAAGAAGACCTGCTCGTTTCGAAGTCTTTTGTGTTTGATAGAAAATAGCTTGTCTGCTCTGCTAGATCTGAAGAATCAGCTGTGCCTAGTCCATTTGAAAGCATTGATTGATCAGTAACTGTTATTTCAATTACTTCTCCGTTTTCACCAACTTGAAAATAAAGATTGGGATCCAATTCAAGCACTTCTTCCTGAGATGCATACTCCTCAGGATAATACTCGCTAGACTCTGGAACGATCGAAATATCACCTCCATTTTCACCAAGTTGGAAACATAGATTGGGATCCAATTCAAGAACTTCTTCCAGATAAAAACACCCCGTTGAATAATATTTACCACGTTCTTGGACCATGGAAGTTTTTCGTCCGTTTTCTTCGTTGGAAGAATTCATGGACAAGACTTGCTGATTATCCGCGCTTCTATTTATTTCAATGACGATGCACGAACTATTAGGATCATGGTCCAGCTGATAAAGTTGCTCCATCCCAAATTTTTGTTAGACTGAATTAAAGCGTAATCCACCGTAGCTATTTCAGTCTCTATCGGTTCGTTGAGTGATTCCGTATTATTTTGAGCTTCAATATGTTCCATTCCAGTCAGTTTTTCATGACTAGATCGTTTATCTATTCGTTGTTTCACACCAGTATCGTCATGAGCATTGAAATTGATCAGTTCAATCTTGTCTTGTTTTTCTATCAGCCCCTGAGCAGCAGCGAAATCATCGCCTGAGAGTAAATTTTCGACAAACGGGCAAATGCCAGTAGCACGGAATCCACTCAATGCATTTTTCACTGTCGCAGCTCCTACAAAAGCCTCTTGCACCAAACTTGCCACATTTTGAACGCTAACAGCCTTGCCCGGATTCTGCTTCATAAAATTGTCGATTGCTTGAGAATAGTACTTCTTCAACGGACCCATCACTGCAACATCCAACGGCTGTAGCCTATGCGAAGTGTGTGGTGGTATTGACATAATTTTGACATAGTTCTCACTTGCACGCTCCAGGTAGCTGATATTTTTGGTATGGCTTGTGTGGCCATCCAGGATCAATAATGCCGGACGTGCTGAAGAAGGTTTTACGTGCTGCAGGAAGTATTCAAACCACAATGAACAGGTGTTGGAGTTGCTCCATCCGCTGGGATGACACAGAAACAGAGAGTTTTCTGGGGTACGAAGGTGCCTGATCCGGACATAGCCATAATTACTGTCGTGTTTGTACCTCTCTCACCTGATGAAATTCCGGCAATCTGACGTTGACCTCTTTTGGCAAACACTTTCCAGGACTTATTTTGAACCTAAAAAAAAAAAATAAACTTTACTACCACAAGCACAGAAGCAATCGCAGTAACCATACTGTGCTAAAACCTGTTTCATCAACATTCCAAATTTGCCCCGGGGAATAATTGCACTCGGTGTACATCCTTCGAAGGAGCTGATAGAAAGATTTTACAGCCTCCTCATTGAAACCTTTTATCCGAGCTAAGGATGTGTTTTCAGCCTTCCGCAGAGTGAGTTCCGGATGTCTTGCTAGAAATGATCGTAGCCAATCTGCTCCAGCTAATCCTTGCTCCCGTTTGAACGGTTGTTTGATTTTCAGTTTTTCTGCCGTCTGATGAGCTAGTCCTCTGATATCCTTGTGTGTTAGGCCAAATCCGGAATTCGCCATCCGGATGATGTGTTTCACAAGATCTTTTTCTTGTTTTGAAGTGAAAACAGTCTTGAAGTTGCCCATCGGACAAAGCTCCAGTCGGCCAATTTTTGCTTGCTTATCCAGATATCGAAGCAAGCTTGTCTTCGTCCACGATTGCCGTGTAGTTTTCCGCATATATTTTTTTCCCATTTTTAGATTTTTGTTCTACGATTCTACAAGTTAAAATCCTAAACTGAAGACTGAAAAAAAAACAACCCGAATCAAATGTCAACACAAAATCACGGTGGGCTAAAAAGTCATGTTCTATTGCAGAATAAATTATGCCTCAAAAAATAAATAGAAACAGTATGAAGTATGCTTGTCGGTTACTTTTTGCAGATACATTTGGAATGCTTTGACTGATTATCATAAAAAACTATTATAACTACATTTGTTTTGAGGAACAGCTCCAAACAATAAATTTACTGTAATTTTATTGCATTGCAAACCCGATCAATCCCACTTTGTGAGCAATGTTGACAAAGCAAAGATATTTTTGCATTTCCGGAGAACTTTGAGATTTGGGCGTAATGGCTTTTGTAAACAAACACTTCATTGGTCGATTTTTCGCGAATAAAAGCTCAATTTTGTGAATAAAGTATACCAAATGATAGAGGAATCATTCATATTCCTGATTGTGTTATTAGTTTGCGAGATTGAGCTTTTAATCGGTGATTGACGTGTTTGTTTACAAAAGCAATTACGCTCTAATCTCGAAGTTCTCCGGATTTAGCATTGTCTATTCGTCGGTGAAACTGGAAAAGGGCGTGAGCGGTGCTAAACGTTTAATTAGAGTACATAGTTATTTCTGAAGTTTATGTGTAGTAAAATATAATTTCAACGATTAATTTTATCTTGTAAGAACTAGCAGTTCTAGCAGCGTTTAAACTTAAAAAGGTTAGGTTACCTTTATTGGCGAGACTTTCAGCCAGAGGCTGGTTCATCTCTTTTCAACATAAAAGAAACAACAGCTATTGATTATGATACGCCTTTATCAGATGATTTTCCCGAAATTATATTTTAAAATGGCGTGCTCCACAGTGCGTTCTGCCCAATATTAGTTTTGAACAGTTTTGGTTAAATGTTTGGAAAATGTGTGTAGTTACTGTAATTTTAGGATGTTATCTTAAAATTTAGTTGTGTACGGTACAGGTGGAGTATGTTTTTCACAAACCATGGATATAAACGAATGATATATGCTTTTTAAAATACCACGATTGTTTACATTTGAGGCACAGTCATAGATATTTCTTTAGTTTTGATCATATTTTATTGTATTTGGTTCATTTTTTGTATTACAACTGTCAATTACTCTGATTTATGTGCAAATTAAGGGAGCATTCGTCATTTAATGCAGCAGTTACGAAGATTTAGACTAATTTATTGTTTGGGTCATTTTACCTCACTGGTGCGTTTTGAACTGCTCTCCCCTATAGCTAATTCTTGATTATTTTCTAACCGATTGAGCTGATTTTTTGTAGGTAACTATGACAATCAGGAATCCACATTGTCGGGGGGTAAACGGGGGCGTGAATAAGGAATATCTCATTTGTTTCAATATATAAAGCTATACTGTCTTCGCCAGGGATGTTTTACTGGGTTAGACCAACAAGCCTGTGTCATTCAAGTCAGGTTTAACTGCG